CAACCAGAGGAAATTTCTAGAATTTACAAAGAACTTAAACAACTGAATAGTAAAAAAACAAAAAACCCAGTTGAAAAATAGGCAAGGGAGCTCAACAGACATTTCTCAAAAGATATACAAGGGACCAACAAGTATATGAAAAAATGCTCAAAATCACTAATCAGCAGGGAAATGCAAATCAAAACCACAATGAGATACCATCTTACCCCAGTTAAACTTGCTAGTATGAAAGATACAGAAAATAACAAATGCAGGCTAAGATGCGAAGAAAGGGAAACCTTTATATACTGTTGGTGGGACTATAAATTAGTACAACCATTATGAAAAACAGTATGGAGGTTTCTCAAACAACTACAGATAAAACTATGATGGGGCCCAGCAGTTCCACTACTGGGTATACACCCAAAGGAATGGAAAGCATCATGCTGAAGGGAACCTGCATCCCCATATTTATCACAGCTCTGTTCACAATAGTCAAGATATAGAACAAACCTAAATATGCACTGACAGATGACCGGATAAAGAAAATGAGGTATATATACACAAGGGAATACAACTCAGCCATAAAAAAGAATGAAATTCTGCCATTTACAGTAATATTGGTGAGCTTGGAGAAAATTATGTTAAATGAAATAAGTCAGGCACAGAAAGAGAAATACTGCATGTTCTCACTCATATGTGGAAAGAAAACAAACAAAAACAAATAATAATAATGAGTTGAACTGTTAAAAGGAGAGGAAAATCTATGGTTACTAGATGTGAGAAAGGGGAGGGGGAAGGAGGAATAGTGACAGCTGATTAATGGGCACAAAAGTACTGCAGGATAGGAAAAATAAGTCCTGCTGTGTACAGTTGGTCCAGAAACCTATAATCAATAATGATATACTGTATGTAATCAAATGATTACAAGGGAGATCAAATATACATACACATCACAAAGTAATCATTAAGTTTTGCAATGATGAATAGGCTAATTACCCTGAACGATCAGTCCATTACATATACATGTATTGAAATATAACTCTGTACCCCATAAATACATACAATAAATGTTTCAACAGAAAATTTTAATAAAACATATGTTACAAATACATTGGTATTATCAAATATAACAAAAATAAAATATATTAAAAATTTTTTTAAAGAATTTAAAAAGGAAGCATAGAAGATAAAATGAGTAAACATAAAATAGGAAAGAAATAAATATAAGCATACTGGAAATAATTAAATGAACTTTCAAATTAAAAAAATTCTCAGGTAATACCATATGCAGTTTGATAACTACTGATAATGGTTATATTATCAATGTCAGTAATAATGGATAACCACTGACAATGATAATATTGACTAAATATTCAAACAATCTAAGGAATTTCAAAAAATAATGGTACTTGTGTCCCAGGCCCAGAGATTGATTTAATTGGTCTGGAGTGTGGCCTGGGCTCTGGAGTTTTTAAAAAGACTTCAGCGGGCCGGCCCGGTGGCGCACTACTACAGTGCGCCGCTTGGGAGCGCAGCGGCACTCCCGCCGAGGGTTCGGATCCCACATACAGACCGGTTCCCGCTCACTGGCTGAGCGAGGTGTGGGTGCAACACTGAGGGTTGTGATCCCGTTGCCAGTCCCGGCCCGGTACGGGCGCGACACTGAGGGTTGCGATCCGTTGCCGGACACAAAAAAAGACAAAAAGGAAAAAATAAAAATAAAAAGACTTCAGCTATTTCTAAAGTGCATACAAGTTTGAAATCATTTCCATATTGCCTTTCAAAGTGGTTATGCCAATGATACTGCCATCAGTAAGGTATAGAGCACTTAAAGACAAAACAGCTCTACTGAGATATAACTCACATACCTACAGTTCCATCATTTAAAGTGACAATGCAATGATTTTATTTTATTTTTTTTTGGTGGCTGGGTGGTGAGGGGATCTGAACCCTTGACCTCGGTGTTATAACACCACACTCTAACCAACTGAATAAACCAGCCAGCCCTTCAATGATTTTTCCTAGAGTTGTGCAACAATCACCACAATCTAATTTTTTAACATTTTTATCACCCCAAAAAGAAATGCTGTTTGTGCGTATTAGCAGTCACTTCTATTTCCCCACTCCCCTTTCTCCATTCCCCTCATCTCCTGAGCTGGGCAACCAGTAATCTACTTTTACTTGCCTGTTGAAGACATTTCAAATAAATGTAATCATACAATATATAGCCTTTTGTCTGGCTTCTTCCACTTAGCATGTTTTCAAGGTTCAACCACATTGTGGCAGGTATGAGAATTTCATTCCTTTTTATCATTGAATAATATTCCATTGTAAGGATATATTAACTTTCATTCATCCAGTCATTAGTTGATGGAAATTTGGGTTGCTCCTACCTTTTGGCTATTGTGAATTACAAAGTATAGAGCACTTCTGTCCCCAAATGTTGTGAATCCTTGGTACTGTCACACTTCTTAATTTTTGCCAGTCTTAGGCACGTGGAATAATGATTTCACTGTGGTTTTAATTTGCATTTTCTTTTCCTTGAACTGCCTACAAATATTTTTTAACAAATTAAAAAAAATTGTTATTTACCTTTTTCTTATCAATCTGTACAAGCTTATTATATTGTTGATAGTCATTTCATTGTTGTCTATATGCATTGCAAATATCTTCACCCAATTCATGGCTTTTTACTCTATGATGTCTTTTGATAAAAAGAATTATGTTCATGTAGTCAAATTTATCAATCTTTTAATGATTGTTTTAAAAAAGAACTAGAGAGAACCTTTAGAAATGATCTATTTGGTTTTGTTTTAAATATGTTCCTTTATTAAAAATTCCTTATTACTTGTTATTTTTGCGATTTATTTCTTTAAACATTTCACCAATAGTTTATATCTATATCTAATAATTCTTATATGTAAGGGTTTGTTTTTTTTTTTTTGCCATGTAACCTGTTGTTTGTTTAGATTATTTATCACTCATTGGTGACCTGTTTCCCTGTGGGTTTGATGAACTTTGTGAGCTCACCTTCTGTTGATTTTAATTTGTGATTTTAATTTTAATTTAAAGGCCTCTTACTTTCCTTCAGAGACGATCTGCATTTACTTTGTCCATAAGTTAGAGGGTACCACCTTAAGGAATAAAATTTCAACTTTTTTCTATTGCCTTTCTTTATTTCTTATGACTGTATTATTCATTTTTCTCTAGACATAATGTTTTTCTGTTCCTCCTACAAAGTTAGTGCCCACTCCAAGGCCTTTATACTTACTACTTTATCTACTTAGAATGCTGTTCCCCCACATATTGGCCTGAGTCATGCCCTTACATTACTCAAGTCTTTGTTCAAATATCATCATGTCAGAGAGGCTTTTCCAAAATCTATCCACCTAAAAAAGGCCACTCCCACTCTCCATTATTCTTTATTTGCCTACCCTTCTTTACCTTTATTCATACTGCTTATCATTACCTGCTACTGTAATATTTATTAAATAAATGTATATATGTATATATATGCACATACATATACATATATTTTTGTTTCCTTATTTATTCTGTATTTCTCCCACAAGAACATAAGTTTCATCAGGATATGAACCTTGTCTAGATGATTATTTCCCCAATGCCTAGTATAGTTCTTTGAGTGAAACAGGCCCTCGATAAATATATTTTGAATAAACAAACACATTTTAAAGAATGGAGACAATGATATGTCTTAAATGAATTTTTTAAAAAATCTGGAAAGGAACTGACTCTCAAGTTTACATAAAAGGGTTGTCACTGGGAAGAGGAAGAGCCTCATTTGAAAGTGGGAAGGTTTATAATAAAAGACTAATAGGGAGATAAAAAAGTAGGGATTAGGTTATATATTAGACTGTTTTTTTTCGTGTCCGGCAACGGATCGCAACCCTCAGTGTCGCGCCCGTACCGGACCGGGACCAGCAACGGGATCGCAACCCTCGGTGTTGCGCCCGCACCTCGCTCAGCCAGTGAGCGGGAACCGGTCTGTATGTGGGATCCGAACCCTCGGCGGGAGCACCGCCACACTCCCAAGCGGCGCACTGTAGCAGTGCGCCACCGGACCGGCCCCTGGACTGTTTTCTATTGCTTATTACAGAATACCCGAAACTGGGTAATTTATAATAAAATGAAATTTATTTCTTACAGTTTCAGAGACTGGGATGTCTACAGTCCAGGGGGCACATCTGTGAGGGCCCTCTTCGGGGTGGGAACTCTCTACAGAGTCCCATGGTGATGCAGGTAATCACATGGCAAGGATGGCAAAGCACTCTTTCACATGCGTTCTCCTTATAAAACCAACAGTCCACACCCATGACAGCCCATTAAACCATCAACCCATTACTCCAGGAATGGACTAATCCATTCATTAGGGCACAGTCCCCGAGATCCAATCACATCTTAAAGACACCACCTTCCACCAACATATTGGGGGTTAAATTCCAACATAAACTCTGGGGGACATTCTAACCACAACAGGTGAGATTCTTTAGGGAGATTACACTGAAAAGTCCTGCTTTTATCCCTCAAGTCATAGGTCTTTTTCCCACACACGTTGGGTCCTGCAGGGGAGTGCAGCAATCAATAACTTTATAAAACCTTCAAAGGAAAAAGAAGTGAAGAGGCAAGAGAGAGTTAAATTCCAGTGACATTAGAAGTACAAGGAATAAAGTGATTCCCTAGGTAAGAAAATCACTTATTAAGGTTTTAATTGACATAGGCTTTGTCCCTTATGAAACTTCATCCTAAGTTATTTTCAAATAAAAGGTGATTCTAGCATATTCACTCAGTATAAAACGCAAAGTTCTTAACATGTAATATTCAATCACCAAGCACACAGAAGACAACGTATTTGTTGTAAGTAATAAATCGTGTTCACTTGAGTTGTTAGTGAAATGCATTGATCCACCTTATCACCATACAAATGACATGAGCTCTTCTGATCAGAAAAGCCACACATATCAGCATCTATTTTTAAAATTAGATTGGACATGTGAATTATTTAGAGCTCCTTTAGCAGATCTAAAGGGTAACAACACATAGCCTGTTGTTTTTTTTTCTGACAATATTGCAAATGTCCCAGAATTCAAATCTAGCCCCTTGACATCATGGAAGATGGTAGGGAGACAGGTATTATAAGACAGTGTTAAGGCTTTCTGAAGGATGTAGAAGATAAAGATACCCTATGAAATGTGTCAACTTCAAACCATTCCTTTGAGAATAAGAAATTCAGTTAATTACTTAAAAAGCAACCTAGAAACAATGGCAGAGAAAGGAGCCATTTCAAAGGTGGATCCTGAAATACGAGGAACAGATATCCTTCTTAATCACACCACAGTTTATAGTTTTCTAACATCACATCTCTATACAAATCACTTTGAGTAGAGAGTCCAGGCATTCACTCTCTTCCTGAGAGAAGTCAATGGCCACATCCGTGAACATCACCAATCTCTGAAACAACAAACAAAATATTAGTTGTGGAAATAAAGAAAACATTTTTCAATGGAGAAGGAGATGATGGGGAACATGCCACAAAGGAGGCAATAGAGCAAACAAGCTGGGAAGTGCCAATATATTCCTGATTATTCCTTTTGCTGTAGATATTTTCTGCATATAGAATACCTCATTATACAGATAAGCCTGGGAATTAATAAACTAAATGAAATGTCCCAATTAAAAGAAATAGCATACATCCTCAATAAATGAAAGTTTCTCTTTCTTCTCTATTTAAGGAATAAGAAAAATAACTGGGAAAATTTTCTGTAAAATCTTACAAAATAAGATTTGAAAAAAATTAAAGAATTTATTGAAGCCTCTGATTCATCATTATATCAGAGTATTACATCATAAGAATTTTCCTCTTCACCAATAATTTGGTAAATATTTTACAGGCAACAGAAGAGCTCCATATAATGAACACATCTGACTTAATTAGTACTCATATTTGAACATTTTAGGTTACATAAAAATCTCATAAGTATTTCTTTATTCTCAGAGTTTATAATTCTCAACTATTTATACAGGTGAATGACGATCTTTCTTGTCACTATTCATCACTTTTCTTCATTCTAAGCAATAGAAAGGTAGAAAAATAATTCAAACTTACACATTCAAGATCAGTACATAATGTTGATCTCAAAATAATCCATATTAAGGGCCAGCCTGGTGGCGCACTGCTGTAGTGCACCGCTTGGGAAGCGCGGTGGCGCTCCCGCCGAGGGTTCGGATCCCACATACAGAACGGTTCCCGCTCACTGGCTGAGCGAGGAGTGGGGGCAACGCCGAGGGTTGCGATCCCGTTGCCGGTCCCGGTCCGGTACGGGCGCGACACTGAGGGTTGCGATCCGTTGGCGGACACAGAAAAAAAAAAGACAAAAAGGGGAAAAAAAAAAAAAAAAATCCATATTATTGGTATTCATCAGTTATGCATTCCTGGGGAAGATCGCTGATCTCTCTGTATTCAGTCCCTAATCATGTTCCTAATCTTAAAAGCTCATAAAGCATGTGTTCTTGTCATATATTGAGACTGAGCCCAGTCAAGACCAACTACTATCTTGTCTTAACTAGGAAACAGTTCTAAAGAAAGTTCAAAATTTTTTCATGTATGGTGCCATTTAATTTCTTTCTCTCTCTTATAAAATCAGGGAAATCTGCTTTTGTTATGTCAGTGTTCCTAGTCAAAAATACTGAATGGATGGGGGCCGGCCTGGTGGTGCACTGCTATAGTACGCCGCTTGGGAGCGTGGCGGCGCTCCCGCCGAGGGTTCAGATCCTCCATATTATTGGTATTCATCAGTTATGCATTCCTGGGGAAGATCGCTGATCTCTCTGTATTCAGTCCCTAATCATATTCCTAATCTTAAAAGCTCATAAAGCATGTGTTCTTGTCATATATTGAGACTGAGCCCAGT